AGAGGGGGAAGGCAGTGTTGGAGGGATGGCTCAGCGCCTAAGAGCACTGACTGCTTTTCCAGAGGACCTGGGTTCAATTCCTAGCACCCACATGGCGGCTCACAGCTATCTGTAACTCCAGAACCCAACACCCTCACACAGACAGGCAGGCAGGTAAAACGCCAGCGCACACAAAAGTAACTCAAAGAAGGCTGCATTGGGGTGAGCATATGGAACAGACAGCCCGTGGACCTGGAGAAGGCTGTTCCTGGAGAAGGCTGATCAGCCTGTGCCCCGCTTGCCCCTCACTAGTTCCAGACATTGCACCCGTTGTGACTCATCTCTCCTGGTCCCTGGTTCTCTGAGCAGAGTCTTGGACTGGGAGACCGGGATACTGATTAAAAGTGCAGCGGCTCTGTTCATCCCCAAATGCAGCCACAGAGGCTCAGGTTTGGCTGCTGCTGTCCAAACAAACCCTCCCGGTAGCTTTGATGTTCCATCTAGAGAACTGCTGTTCTGGGGTCAGGCTTTGCTTTTCTTTTCCTTTTAAGTTGAATTGGCCAACTTGAATTTACTTGGAATTGTAAAACCAGATGTACTACAGCCTTTATTGAATATACACAGAGCACTCAGCAGGTACCAGGCACATTATGGCTGTTAACATGTTTATCCCTTGGTGCTAACTTAGCAGCTCTTGCAATTTCTAGAAATCCCTGCCTCTCTCTGAGCCTTGGTTCCCGGCTGCAAAATGAAGGGGCCATGCTAGCAGACTGCCAGGGAGCTTTCTGGAATCACACAATCGCCGTGGCTTGGATTCTAAGGGTTCCGCTGTTAAATATCCCCTGCAAATCAGGCCTTTTCTGTCAAATGCCAGCCTTCAGGACTTCAGCCAGAGACCTATGAGCAGACAGACAGAACCTCGCTTGCTGTTCCTGTAGGGAGTTGCCTCTGAGGGGGCTGAGACTTGGGGTTTTCCATGCAGATGGGAAGCCTTGGTCAAGACGGTGATTACAATGCAATTCAAGATGGGTGGACTGGACATGTACTGGGCGGTGGTGGCGCACGCCTTTAATCCCAGCACTCGGGAGGCAGAGGCAGGCGGATCTTCAAGTTTGAGGCCAGCCTGGTCTACAGAGCAAGTTCCAGGATAGCCAGGGCTGCACAGAGAAACTCCGTCTCAAAAAAAAAAAAGATGGGCCCTTAAAAGCCAGTTGGAGCTCCTGCTATTCCATGTGAGCAAAACCAGAGTCCTGGATCTCTGTGAGTTCGAGGCCAGCCTGGTCTACAGAGTGAGATCCAGGACAGGCACCAAAACTATACAGAGAAACCCTGTCTCGAAAAACAAAAAACAAACAAACAAAATCACATGTGGGCTTTCCTAAGAATCAGAATCCCAGGCCTGACCTGCCAGACACACAGACTCTGGAAATATGTCCCATGCATCTTAAAGAGTTCCTGCTAACCACCCACATAGCATCCAGAGGATCCTTCTAGATGCTACGAATCCTGAATGACTCTCCCCTTCCTTTAGGGGAACTCAAGGGCTTACAAGGGTATTTTAGACAGAGCATCATCTACTATCTGTCAACTTCTCTATTTTTTTTTTATTTTTTTTTTTTATTTTTTTTTTATTTTTTTGGTTTTCCGAGACAGGATTTCTCTTGTGTAGCTTTGCGCCTTTCCTGGAACTCACTTGGTAGCCCAGGCTGGCCTCGAACTCACAGAGATCC